GTTGGGAGTGGGGGTGGGACTGAGGGAACATCTTTCTTCTCCAGGCCTGTTGCCACCAGTCATGTGGTTTCCACTTCAGAGATTTCCCCGAATGTGGGCCATCTAGTCACATTGGCTCCCTCCTCAGCCGTAGAATCACTTTATCACTCTCAGAGAGGGAAGTTGAAAGAATTTGGTCTATAGTAGAGCAGAGTAGCATGGGGTCCTAGTAGGGCAGCAGAAAGACCAAGACTAAGTTTGGATATACATAAATATTCCTTCTTAGTAAGCTTAGAAGCCAGCTTCCATGGATAAGAAGGGAAACTAGACTGGATTTCCAAAGGAGGGCTGCAGGTTTAGCATTGGACAGTGGACAAAGAGTTAGGCTGAGGCATCCCCTTCCCTTGAGAGTGCAAGGTCAGGATCCCAGAGAAACCTAAGACAGCATAACTTAGTGGTTATAAACACAGCTCTGAAGCTAGACTGCCTGGGTCCAAATCCTGTCCCTAACGCTTGCTAGCTGTGTGACCTAGACAGCTTGCTAAACTTCTATGTGCCTTCATTTCCTCTTTTGTAAGAAATGTGAACAATGATAGTACCTACCTCATATATTTGTTGTAAGGATTAAGATGTGTAATAAATGGAAAGCCCTAGAACAGAGCCTAACAAATATAATTGTATATGAGTGTTTGTTCAATAAAATACATAAAAGAGTAGGAGGAGAAGGTGGTCAATTTAGTAAATATTTATTGAATATCTACTATGCTCCAGATACTGTGCTACCTAAGGTTTAGTGCAGGAAGTAGGAAAAATGGAACTCTAATTCTAGCTCTGTCCTTGTCTATGAGCTGGGTGGCCTGGGAGCATGGTACTTAACCTCTCTGAGCCTCTATTTTTTCACATTTAAAATGAGGACAATAACAGGTAGAGGCCTCACACACAGGGCTATTATTAAGAGTAAATTAAATAGTGCTTATAGGTGTGACATACAGAAAGAAGCTCACTAAGTGGTGATACAGGACTTCTGCAAACTGGTACCTGTAAGATTAAACCTAACAGGAAGAAATGGTAAGTCTTACATTTTAGTTAAAAACTCAATTGCAAAATAACACATCACTTGCACAAGTAAAGGGCAAGAAAGGATTGAATTGGCAAGAGCTTATGTGAAAAAGAGCTAGTGGTTTTAGTTGACCACAAGTTTCCTATGAGCCAACAGTGTGATCTGGCTGTCCAAGGACTAATGTAATTTTAGATGGCATTAATAGAAATGTTGAGTTGAGATCCCAGAAAGTAATTGTTCCCTGTCTTCTGTACTCTGTGCTCATCAGATCACTGCAGATATATAGGACTGTTTCCTGCTTACAGTGTTTCTGGATGGACAATGACAAACTCATTGATAAACAGCCCAGAAGTAACGACCTGGGTTGGGAGGCATTTGCAAAGTCTTTTTCTTTCTTTCTTTCTTTTTTTTTTTTTGTTTGAGGAGGAGATGAAAATAATCCAGGGAGGGAAACACTAAGGCAATATCTGACACAGTTCTTTCTTCTAATGAACATGTTTACAGAGCACACTCCACATCCAGTCAGTCTGTCAGAGAATCCTGTTGGCTCTTTCTTCAAATTATGTTAATAATCCCATCGTTTCTCATTGCTGCTTCTGCTACTGTACTGACCTAACCCAGCCTGTCTTGTCAAGATTATTGCAATAGCCTCCTAGCAAACCTCTCTGCTTTCACTTTGCCTCCTTGGTCTGCTCTCTACAGAGCAAGCTGGAGGGCCCTATTTAATTATAACTGCAGTGGCTTCACATTTCATTCAGAGTGTAAGTCAAAGTCCTTACAAAGACCCACAAGGTCTCTCTTGTCCTGGTTCCCATCACCTCTCTGACTTCACCTCCTTCTACTCTCCCCCTACCTTACTCTGCTCCAGCCACACTAGTCTACTCACAGTTTCTCAAATCAGCCAGGCATTCTCCTGTCTCAGGGCTTTTGTACCTGTTGTTCCCTCTGATCAGAATCCACTTTGCCTAGATATTTGCACGGCTTGCTCCTTCGCATCCTTCAAATTGTAACTCAAATGTCACCTTCTCAGTGAGGTCTTCTCAACCATCCTTTTCAAATTGCAACAACCTCCCCACAAAACACACTTCTGTATCTCCTTTCTCTTCTTTATTTTTCATCACGCATTTATCATCATCTAGTATTCCATATAATTTATTACCAATTAAATTAATGATCTTTTTCTCACACTAGAAGGGTAGGGATTGTTGTTTGACTCTCTCACTACTGTATCCAGTGCCCCAACAGTGTCTGGCATATAGCAGGAAGCCAATAAATATTTGTAGATTAAACAGATATATAAAATAGATGAAAGGGTTACTCTGATTAAATCTGGCAGGGGTGTAGTAGGCATGAATTCTGCCATATACAGAACCTGAATAATTGAGAGTTAACTTCATAAATACATTTGCACACAAATGTTAGACAAACTCTGCAGTGAGATCTACAGGACTCAAGGAGGATGAGTCTCATTTTCCAAACTTTGGAGGACTATCGTGTGTAAGAAGTAGATTTCGTCTGGGTTGCAACTTGAATCAGGACTAGAGCCATTGAATATGAAGGGAATACACACAGGCAGATGTGGAATCTCAATTTGAGATTCTCAGGTTGCCTCATGAAGTGGTGATCTCTTTATCTTTGGAGGTATACAAAAAGAGGCTGTGTGTCTACCTATCAGCTCTGCCATAAAGGAGATTCTGTACTGGGTGGAAGATGGATCAAACCACCTTGACAATCTTTGTAGCTCTGAGATGCTTGAGCCAAAGGTATGTGAGTCCAAGGATCTGGGGTAATTTACATTTGCTTTTTAGAACTTGGGAGAGGTCTTTGGCCCTTCTTTCTAGAGTCCCAGAGACAAATTCTCCTCTCAAATGTTCATTCCACCCTAATTGAGATTCTGTTTCCCAGAAATTACCTGATGCTGGGCTGATGATTAGAGGCCAGCCAGGGGTAAAGGGACTGATTCCCATGGCAACCAGGTTGAAAAAACATACCATGTGGAGAATTGTCAGTAACAAGCTACGTTTGCATTATAAATAGATATTTAATTCATTGAGATAGTTTGTGACGACTTTTGCATTATAAATAGATACTTAATTCATTGAGATAGCTCTAACAGCAAGTAGGAAAGTTAAATACCAAAGCCACTCTTTGTCTTTAAGTATTTCACAGTTAATTGACAACTATATTTTCCTTCTAAAACATGTAGAACTTGGCTTTCTAAGTGGAAGAACAGTATATGTGAGTGTTTTTAGAAAGCCAACTAACAGTCCAGTGTCACAATATTTCTCACTGTTTGCTTCTCACTGAAAGCTTTATCAGAATTTTCTCTTATTGCATGGATATCTCTATTCGAATCCTCTTGGCACAGGAAACTCCAGGTTCCGTCACTGGATTTCACGAAATTCTTTTCCTGTCGTGTTTCTCATCTTCATCCTGCTTTTCTAATTCAGAGGCTTCTCAAAATTTCAGTCCTTGGCCCTCTGCTCTTTTCTTCCCACTTCTCTTTCCCTTGGTGAACAGCTAAAGCAATTAAGTGATCACTTGCTAACTTGCACAGCTCCACCATTAGCCTTGACAATATACACTTTGGAATACCCAAAGATGGAAAAACAGAATCAGACATGATCAAAGGACTTTTATCCTAAAACCAAGGATCAAGGACGGGCCTCCTTCCAGTTGGAAATGTACACCTTTATTGAGAGTTAGGGATGGAGAGTCTGAGGGCAGAAAGTGATGTTCAGCAGAAAGCAACAATTAGGTTTGACTAAATTCAAATGTAAAAGCACTTTTGAAATGCAATTTTTAGAAACACCATAAGAAATTAGTATAAGTGACTAATAGAATTTCATCAAATGGAAATCAGAGTGGGCCTTTGTACTTCTGCGTTCCAAAGAGCTTAATACAAATTAGTCTATAATATGCAGGGTGTTTCATTATGTAAAGATTAAGGGAAATGGGATATATTTTTTTTCATTAACTTGCTGGGTAAACATGCTTTCTAATGCAAGAATATGGGAGTTGCTTTTTAAACTTTATCATAATCAGGGATAAATAACACACTGGGTGCTATACCCTTGTACATTGTTCTATTGAACAATGTTAGTTTAGAATTAAACAGTGCCGGGAAGCAAGGGGCTTTAGAGTCAGATTCGAAGGGGTCATGACCTCCTCTAGGACCTGTAGGTCAATTCTTCTGAGATCTTAAACAAGGTTCAAGGAAATAGGTTAGCCTCTCCCTGCCCCCCGCCCCAGTCCAAATGGCCTAATGTGTATTGAATTCCCACCTGTGCTAATCCAGGGAGAAAAGTCAGGGGCTGAGAATGAGAGCCAGACCCCATTTAGGGTCTTGGGAGGGGACACTGGCAGGTCCCCTGTTCCAAACCACTCACTTCACCTGTTTACTCACTCACTGAGATCCCACCACTACAGGCCCATTCCTTTGGGAAAACAGGGCTCTCTTTAGGGAGGGGCAAAGTATCAGCTTTGATCAATCATTCATACTTAAGAGTGAATTAGTTTATACCCTGTGATTGCTAGGTAAGGGCCACAGAGCACATTTTGCCAGTTTAAAAGCTCTGCAGAGGGCCAATCCTGATGTTTGAAAGTAGGTATACTATGGGACCTAAAAGTAACACGGTGAAAAGGATGTAAATTTGGTGTTTGTCCTCCTCAGGGTCAACTTGGAGAAAGCATTGCCATTCATTCATTCAGTCAGTCAGTCAGTCAACAATGGGATGGAAGGACAAAAGGACACTCTGTTCAGTGACCCCATGTCAAACCAAATTGGGAAATAGCTATTTTGGAGCCCTCTCTCTTCCCCAACCCCATCCTTGAACTCTTTTCTCTGTATTAGCAGCCCCGTGCTCTCTTATTCTGCCTCAGAGGTCAGGTCCGATATACCATTTCTGCTAAGGTGTTAGTGAACAACAGACCAATAGAAGACCACTGCCACAGTTATTGCAGTTAAATAGTGAATACTCTTTATTCAGAAGAACACATTTTTAATAGAATTTCATGCACCAGAAAATCAGTACAGTGAGGAGTTACAGGGGTGGGGAACCTCTCTTGGGGAAATACCTCACCCTAGTAGAGCTCTCAACTCCCAGAATTCCCTTGACCCAGCTCAGGTGATTAAAGACCAAGGAGCAGTAGATGGGGCTGATTTCCAGGGTAATGAGTTGGATTTACAGATCTCTGAGGGTAAAAGAGAGGAGAGGAAAGCTCTTGTAAAGGAGATTATTACACTGGGATTGGCAGTTCCACAGAGATCCCTTGAGAGGTTGAAGAGGGAGAGTTGGTGGTGGTGCCTGCTTCTCCTTGGTTACACTCTTCCAGGGCTATGGTCTGGTCTCTTCCATCTGTCTCTGAGCCCCTGTGTAAAGAAAAAGACATCACTAAGGGAGAATCCAGAACCTGAAGATAGGTTGCGTGGTGGGGCTCAGATGCTAGGGGAGCATTTGGATCATTGTTTTTCCAGCAGCACTCAGTTTACAGAAGGAGGCTGAGATGAGGCATTTACCTGGTTCGGAGTCGAGGCCACTTTTTCCACTCTACGGCCAGCACCACACCCAAGGCTACGATAACCACCACGATCAGGGTACTTCGGACAATGTTCCCCACGGTACACTCCTGAGCAGCAGGCCCTGGGGTGATAAAAGAGCAGAAGCGAAAGCCACAGAGGTTAGCATGTGCATGTTCTCCTTGTTCTCGTGGTGCACCCTCACTTTGGCCTGCTCCAGGGTTTGTGGGGGCCATGTGTCTAGACTGCAGAGGGGTGGTCGGCGGCAGAGCTTGTGCTGAGGCAGAAGCAGCCCTCATTTCCTTGGGGGAAAGGGACCTTGAAAGAATCCTGCTCACAATCTTGGAGTGAATCTGAGTGAGGTCCCACCTCCTCACCATCCTTAGGAGAAAGGTGACACAGTTGAGGTCTTTGACTCTAAAGCCTGTCCCCTCTTGATGTGGGCTTACTCCATGGGGGCTGTCTCCATGGGGACTCTCCCTGGAATTCTGGGTGTGTCATGCCAGCATTACAGAGGGATTATAGTCTTACCTGCTGCCCCCACCAGCTCCAGGGAATCACTAGGCTCTGACCAGATATCAGGGTAGGCCTGGAGGCGGTAGCTGCAGCTATAGTTTCCAATGCCTTTTCCTTCTAAGTTGTTGATGACAAAGTCTCCATCCTCTGAGAACTGCTGAGGTGCTTCTTCTCCATCATGCTCTAGGACAAATTCAACGCCTGGTAGGGGTCCTCGGCACTGAAGAGTGATATCCTTCCCTAGCTTGAACACGGTGCTGGGCCAGGCTGCCAGAGAGGGTTTAGGGGGCTTATCTGCAACCAACAAGGGCACAGAGTTAGAAGAAGTGGCCCTAAATCCAGCCTTTACCCCCTTATTGTTAATTGCTAAAAACAATCCAATCTAGACTCTTACTGAAGTCTCCAGGACCTTACCAGTCACCCAGATCTCCAGGGAGTCACTGTGATTTGAAGCTGCAAAGGGAGCAGAGTCCAAATAATAAACACAGCTATAGATCCCAGAATCGTCACCTCTCACCGCTGGCATCCAGAAGTCAGCCCTGTACCCTCTTGGCCTCTGTTTCTTTAAGGGCCCTTGAGTCCCCTCCTTCAACAGGACAAATGTTGAGTCTGGCAATTCTCCTTGACACTGAAAAGTCATATTTTCTCCAGGGGCCACCATGGGACCAGGCTGAGCTAATAGGCTGGGTTTGGGGAGTAAGCCTGGAAGAAATTAATTCCTGGTCAGAGAGAAGAGGTCACTTTCTAGTGCATCACCCCCAGAATTCCTGTTCAGTAAAGAGGTTTGCCTCGCCTTGAGCTCTTTGAAAACTATCTCCTATGAACCAGTCTATTCCCTCCTTTCTACATTTCCATGCCCACTCCAAAGCATCTTCCCTTTACCTGTGACCATGAGTTCCACGGTGTTGCTAGGCTGTATCTTGATAGGGCTGCTCGAGTTAGGGTGGTAGCAGCAGCTGTAACGTCCAATGCTAGCACCGGACATATTGGTGATGGGGAATGCCCCATCATTACTGGTGGGTCCCCAGCGCTGCAGAGAAGTGGCATCTCCTTCTTTGTGCAGAATGTATCCCACTCCATGGAGTGGCCCTCGGCACCAGAGAGTAACATTCTGCCCCATGGGAATCACAGAACTGGGCTCAGCAAATAACCATGGCTTGGGGAATGTATCTGGAAAGAGATCAACGATATAATGTGGTGAGTATGGAAACTTATCACTCCCTGAACTAATCCTTTATCTTTCTCCTCCGGGACACAACAGTTTCCCTCTATGGCCTAATCTAGATTTCCAGGAGGAATTACCCTCCCCTAACCCTTATTCCGGTGGTTTCTATCCCAGCCCCATATCTTGTCTGTTCTTACCAGTCACCCAGATCATAAGGGGCGCGCTGAGAGATGACCCTCTATTTGACATGGTCGTCTCATAGTAGATACAGCTATAGTTCCCAGAGTCTTCTGCTTTGACGGTGTGGAGGAGGAAGTCAGCTGAGTTCCCTGAGACACTCTGGAACTGTATGGGAACCTGTGTTCCCTCCTGTAGGAGGGCAAACCTCATGCCCTGGGAAGTCCCTTCGCAGTGCAGGGTCACATTTGTCCCAGGAAGTACCACAGGACCTGGCTTTGCCAGGAGAGTGGGTTTAGGGTAGAATTCTGAAATTAAAGAGATCACAGCATTAGAGAAAACCACCCCCACGTTCTGCAAATAGCTTTTTTAGTGTTATTATAAGAAACAATATATGTTTATTGTAGAAAATTAGAAAATATGGAAAAAACCTAACAGAGAAAACATCATTCTACCACTCAAAGATAATTCTTCTTTGTATTTCTTTGCCATATATCCTTTCTATATATGCCCATGTCCATGTAGCTATAGCTGTTTGCATAATTGGGACTCAGTGGAGTATGTGCAGTTGTGGAGTCTGATATTTTGTACTTAACTTTATATTGTAAATATTTTCCTATGACATTAAATGGCCTTGGAAAACTGTCATTTGTAATGGCTGCATAATATGCAGCTGTCATTTCAAGGTTTTCTCCCTTTCGCTGAGGGCCATCCAGCCCACCAATCTCTGACAGCCTAGCTAAAGAAAAAGTGGACATGGAGCCTAAAGCTCAAGGTCAAGCCACAAAAAGATTTCAGAAATAGGGCAGCGAGCTGAGCTCCTGGGATTGTACACCCCCATCTGCCTCGCTTATTTCTCCAGAAGTGAACTGCTTGCCTCCCCCCCCCTTCTTTGTCGCTTTTTCCTGTAATAATAATACAAGCAGCTGTCCTACATGGACTGTTCACCATGTGCCAGCTACCGTCCTAAGCACTTTCTCAGTGTCTTTTGGAAGGAGTACTTCTTCCTTCGCCACTGACAGCCCTTCCTTCCATCCACTGTCCCAGGGTTGGCACCATGTTTACCTGGATTTTCCCCCCTCCTAACCTGTCACCACGAGCTCCACAGTGTCGCTGGGCTCAGACCAGACAACAAAGTCATAATAGCGGCAGCTGTAATTCCCTCCATCACCGATGCCTGCCGAAATGATCAGAAAGTGAACTGCACTGGGCCCCGGCCTTGTCCAAGACTTGTCACTGGACGCTATTTCACTTCCATCTTTGTAAAGAATAAAGCTCATGTGCTGGAGGGGGGTGGAGCAATCGAAAGTCACTCGGGCACCAGGGGCGACCGCAGGGCTGGCCCATGTCTTGAAGAAGGGCTTGGGGTACAATTCTAGAAGGCAAAAACCAAAACACAACATAAAACCAAATTAAGAAAAAAAAGAAAGAAAATACAGCAAATATTGGTTCTAGGAAGCAGCTCTGCTTTCTATAGTATTTCATTCCGAAGTAAGCGCATTTAAAAAGCAAGGGAAATCCACTTTGCAGATAGACTTCTCACACAGGGACCCCTCACCCCCAGCCCTCACCACTTCCGAGTCCTTGCTGTCATCAGGGCAGGCAATGGGGACTAGCAAAAAGAGTGAATTTTCCTTGGGGTTCTTCTGGTTCTCTGAGCCTCAGTTTGCTCCTTGGGACAAGGGGTTGGGGAACTGTTACCTGTTCCACCTCTCTTGAAGAGTTCCTCTATAGCTAAATGAGCTAACTGATGTGAAAATAATTAGAAAAATTAAATCACCCTCCACAAACTCAAGCTATTAATAACAATTATGGCTATTAATATCATGCAGCCAGAGGCCCTGGCACTCCCAGTGCCACGCCTGCCTGGCTCTAAGATTGGACACAGGCTCCTAGGACCAGCAGCAAAGTTTGCTGTGGGGAAAGGCGTGTCTGACCCGGGGCTTTGCCTCCCCCTCCTTCCTCACACACCCTTCTCAGCTCTACCTTGTATGACAAGCTCCAGGGGCTCGCTGGGCTGAGACCACTTGAAGGGGTGCTTTTCAGTGTGAGTGCGGCAGCTATAATTGCCTTCGTCTTTATCCTCCATTCTTTGGATTATAAAGAAGGCTTCTCTCCCAAGGGCACCAAGTTGCTGAACAGGTTCCTCCTTTCCCTCCTTATACAGAGCAAACCCCAAGCCTGCCAGCCATCCTTTGCACCGGATTTGCAGTTCCTGGCCCCAGATTGGGGGAGCAGCATCAATGACAGGTCTGGGGAGGATGTCTGGGAAACAAAATGGGGCGGAAAAGGAGTCAGAGGTTTGGAGGTGCCCAGATGTGACACTTCGTGTTACTTTGTCAGCAAATAAAGAAATCCACTCTGGGCTGGCCCTTGGCTCTTCCTGTCAGTCTCTTCTCATTCTTTTCCCCACTCCCATCCCCATTTCAATGCCCCTCCTCGCCTACATGCGGCACAAGCTCCTTGGGCTCCGGGTCTCTGTGCATCGTTCCCCCACTCCCAGGAACAGTGCTGGAGTCCCGGGGGAATGGTGGATCCCTCTGGGAGGACCCTCCAACTTTTCTTACCTGGCCCCACCAGCTCAAGTGCCTCACTGGGCTCTGACACAGCCATCTCCTCCCATGAATGGCAGTGGTAGCTTCCTGTGTGACTCTGGGTCAGGGCGCCAAGGGGGAAGGCAGCCCGGACTTGCTCTGTGGCCGGGCGAGTTGCGATCCACCCAGTCCCGTCCTTCAGCAACACAAACTCCTTAGTTGAACTAGAAGGGCTTCTGCACCACAGGGTTAAGTTCTTCCACGGGGCCAGAGGGAAGTTGGTCTCTGCCCACAGCTCAGGCTTAGGGGTTGGCGTGATTATTTCTGGAAACAGCAGAATTAATGAAGCCATCCTCCGACCCCTCTCCCCCTCCCCCTCTCTTTGCCCTTGAACCTCCTACCCAGATTACACTGCCCACCTCCCCCTTCAACTCAAATCCAAACCCTTTCCTTCCTTCCTTCCTTCCTCAGGTGCTGGGGAAAGGGGAAGCTGATGTGTCAGCTGAGCCTCAGAAAAGTGCAGAAGCTTGGGGGAAATTTTGCAGACAGAAAGGCAGAGTTGGAGGCTGAATTTTGCCAGCAGCTTTAGCAAATGCCCCTTCCTGGCTGTCCTTCCCTCCCAACCAGTCACTCCCTGGCCACTGACACTGACACTCTGTAGTTATTTCAGATCTCCAGGGAGGAATGTCCCAGTCTGGAGCAGGAAAAACTCACCATTCTCTTCTATCAATGCCCCATTGCACAGTCCTGCAAAAGAAATTGCTGCCAGAGCTCAGCCCCATCCCCCACAGGGCTTCACCCCGGCCTTCTGCCCAGGCCCCTTCCCCACCCCCTGTACTCACCACAGCAGAGAAGAGCTGTGACTATGAAGAGCATGGTGACCCCTTGAGCTGTTCCCAGCAACCAGGCTTCTCTAGCGAGACCAGAAAAAAGATGAGAGGAGTTGCTGGGATTAGGGGGAGGGCAGAGAGAAGGGGGCGGCAATTTATGTCATTGGCTTACTCACTACCCAATAGGGACTGGATATGGTCAGGATAATGGGATATAATCTTTTCTGACATTGATGAGTTTTCTTTTTGAGGGCCTCATCACCTACAAACTTCTTGCTCTTTCATGATCCACGTGCCCTCCCACCCCAACCTCCTCCCCAGCCTATATCATATGTCAGCTCCCCATGGCCCCTGGTTAGGCTGTTGCTGGAATTCAGATGTCAGATGTAAAAATGCTTTGGTATTAACTCCAGCTTTCAGAACCCCCAGAGCTCAGTGTGATCGGCAGCTCTGGGTGATGGGTGTAGGGGTGGAGGCAGAAACCTCGAGTATTTCTCCGTCATCAAGTTTAAGTTTGGAAGCAGTTGTTATTATGGCAGTATTGGTCCTCAGACAGACCTGCCTCACCTGCCTAGGCAGGTGTGATGAAGGGTTGCCTAGGCAGCCGCGATAAATTACTAGAAGATTGTCAGTGAGCTAAGCTTGTCAGAGAGTGGGATCTCTCTCCCCCCACCTAGATTATGACTAGAAATGTGCAGCAGCTTTGGGTAATTGGTCTTGTACAATTAGATAATAGGAAGCAAAAATCCATTTGACAATTTTTACTTAGCAAACACTGACCCTCCTTCCTGGTCAGGAGAATGTGTGTTCCCAAGCTGCTTTCTCTGAAATCTGGTTTCTGATCTTATCCTTTGTTGCAGTGGTCCTGGGCTGGGGTCAGGCACTTAAAGCTACATTTTTTTCTAACCCCTGGCTTGGAGTTTACCTTAATGTGTATGGGACTCAGGACAGATACTGGGGAGAACTAGAACTTGGCCCCCACTGAAACTTTTTGAAAACTCAAAGGGTGGTGGTTTTTGCAGAAGACTTAGGTGGCTCCCCTCTGGTTGCCCAAGCATTCTGTCCCTCAGATCCCAGTGGAAAACACAGACACACATAATCATAGTCATCATACATTGTGTATTGAATGCTTCTAGACACACAAAAGTCTACTATCACAGTGGGGGATGGGGTACAGCCAGAAGCAGGGGATTAGGGGAAGTAGGTAAGGTGTTCAGGAGCTGAGGTCCCCACCAGGTTAGGAGCTGTCATTTCTCTTCTCATTCCCAAGCGGAGTAGTCTGAGCACAAGCCATGGGGATCAGAGAGGTGGATGGCCCAGAGGACACCAAAGGATCAAAGGAAAAGGTAGGAGAATCTTTTTGGCTTGTCAGTTTGTGGGTCAGAGGAAACAGTCTGATTCCCTGGCCCCATCCATCGCCTCATCAGATGCTCATCCAGGTTAAGACTATATTCCCAGAATTCTCTGCACAGGTGGTTGGAGGCCAGAATGGCAGAGATACTGGTTTCTAAGGCAACTAGTATGGACCACAAAGCTCTTTAGCCCTTGAGAGATAGGAATAAAAGGTGAAAAGTTGGGATGGGAGTTGGGTAACAATTTGGGAGACAGGACAGCATGGCTTCTTGCAAGAGAAAAAGTACAGACCAAGTTAATAGGAAAGACATCAACCATTTCTGAGGGGCAGGGTGCTTTGGGGGGAGATTTGGACACCCTCCTTGGGGGAGATGTCAGTGAATGCAGTTCTGATTACTTCTCCAGTCTGTAAGAATTATGCACTTCTCCACCCTCTGGCTTGGGTGCTGACCCTTCTGTGAGGTGAAAGAGAAATAGCGGAGGTGAGAAAGTCTTATCTCCTAAGCCCAGAAGGTGGGGGATATATAGGGTGTGCCCCTGTGGCTTGTCTCCGCTGGGGTATGACCCATTTTTGAGACTCTGGGGGAGCCTGGACTCAGCTATGTTGGAGAACAGGGGACTGGGACACGACAGTTACCTGATTCTGAGTCTCCGACACTTCCACTTTATCCACAGCACTACAAACAGCAAGGCAACAAGCTGCATGAATATGGACAACCTGATAGCTTCATTCAGGATGTAATTCCAGGTGAGAAAGCCTGTGGCCAGAGAAGACCAGAAGCTGGGGGCTTGATGGAGACAGGAGCAGGTAAATACATTCACTGAGGGAGGAAGAGCTGGTTACTGAGAGTGCTTATATTGGGAAGGGGAGGCAGAAGTGGCTTTCCTTTTCATGGAGAATGGGAGCCTTGAAAATATCCTGTTCACTATCTTTCAGTGATTGTGAGACAACTCCAAGGGAAAGGTGCCCAAACCCAAGGGCCCTGACTTCCAAGCCCCTGACTCCCCTTCCCATCTTTCTGGGCACTGCTCTTGGATGGCTAGGGACTGGCGGGGCGTTCCTACGAAGATTTATCCTCTCACCTGCTGGTCCCATCAACTTCAGAGGCTCACTACGATGTGACCAGATGTTAGGATGCGCCTCTATGCGATAGCTGCAACTGTAGGTCCCTGTGCCTTTCCCGTCAACATTACTGATGATGAAGTCTCCATCCACTGAGAATTTTTGAAATGTTGCCCTTTCTTCCCATTCCAGAGAAAATTCAAGCACTGGATGAGATGCTCGGCATTGAAGGGTGATGGACTTTCCTAGCTTGAACACCGTACTAGGCCAAGCTGACAGGGAGGGTTTGGGGGGCTTATCTGAAACCAATTCAGAAAAAAAGAGTTAGAAGTGAACTTAAATCTGGTAACTCCTCCCCCACCAAATGTTTCTCAGCTCCCCATTTGGTCTCCTCTTCCTTTCCACTTCTACTTGATCAGTGGCTTCAAATTTTGATTGTTCATTAGAATTCCTTTGCCCACTCCTTGGTGCTCTATAGACTCCTGGTTCCCTACTTTTAATAAGGAATACCTCATACCTGTTAGCTTCCCCTGGCATGAAGGAAAATAACATTTCCAGGGGTCAATGGGGCTGAACCATGCTGAGAGATAGGGCTTGAAGAAGAATCCTGGGAGAGGAGATCCCTAAAGTTTTTGGAGAAAGTTCTACATCATACTCCTAGTGTGTTTTTCCTTGGCTCATAGCTCCAAGAGGGTACAAGGCCACTAGCTCCTTCTAATAACACTGTAATGATGATAAAAACAAACAGGTTAATGATAAAAACAGTTGTTAGCACTTGCCTACAACCAAAAGCTCCACGGAGTTGTGTGATGCCATCCTAATGGAGGTCTTCCAGGTGAGACGATAGCGGCAGCTATAGATGCCAGAATCACTGTTAGTGACGTTGTTGAGAAGAAATGACTTGTTGTTATTGATGCTGGCGGCATCCAAGAACTGAAGTGGTTTGTCTTCTCCTTTCTTATAGAGTGCAAGCCCCACTCCATCCATTGGTCCTCGACACCGCAGGCTTACGTTCTGACCCGCTTGGACCACAGGATTGGGCCGAGCAAGTAGCCAGGTCTTGGGGAAAGTGTCTAGGACGAGATCCAAAATATAAAGGACTAATCATGAGACATCTCCTTCCCACTACTTCAGATTCTTTTCCTCCACTTCCTCCAGTCCATTCTTGGAAAATCCCTACCTAAGCCCAGTTGTACATATTCTTCTCCCTTCTCCACTGTTAGCCCTGGCTGCATGAATAGGTTCTGCAGGGGACCCAGAGGGAGTTTTTATGTCATTATCCCCTAATATAGGTTTCGTGGTATACCCCTCTCTTAATCCTTAGCCCCTAACATAGGTTTTATGGCATACCCCTCTCTTACCAGTGACCCAGATTTTCAAGACATCACTGAGGAGTGAACCCCTATATGACCCATCATAGTAAAAGCAGAGGTAATGTCCAGTATCTTGGATCTTCAAAGACCGGAAGAAGAAATATGCCTCATTTTTTATTGGCTTCTTGTGGTAAAAGGACTTCTCCAAGTCTTCAAGCCTCATTAGAGCAAAGGTCATTCCATAGATTGGCCCTTGGCACCTGAGACTCAGGCTTTCTCCAGGTGCCATGATGGGACCAGGATAGGCTGTCAAAGTTGGTTTGGGGTAGAGTCCTAGAAAGGGAAGAAACCCTGAAGTTAGGGGTAGGATGAGTCTTTCCTATTGTCTTCTGTTTTTATTTTCCTAGTTTCTTTATACAAGAAGCAACAGCTGAAGTTACCATCTCCTTCTCCCTTCCTTGGATCCCTGCCTCCTCTAGGATATAATTGAGGGTGGATTCACTTATGCCACTGCCCTTTCTCCAGACTCTTTCAGCTCCACTGAGCTACAAACAAATGTAGGGTTGTGTCTCAGTGGACTATCTACATCCATAATTCCCTGTATCTTTAGGTCCCTGAAATGCCAAATGTAGTTCTTCCAACCACCAGAAAAACCAAACCTCTGAAAATGTCTTTGATTCCATCTTTGTTGAACATGAATACTACTGCAATATTAAGGTGAGCTTTTGAATACATTAAGCTCACCTAAGACCCTACTTCCAACATGAGCTCAGAAGAAGCCAATAAAGAGGGTTTGGCCAGCAAGTCTGCAATCCAAAGAAATCTCTGTTAATGGGGCAACACCCTCATTTCCATTGTTTGTTCCCCCAAGGAGACTGTACTACAAAAGTAAAGGCAAATTTCACCCCCATACCACTCCTTCTTACCCCCACCCCATCCCAGGTACACACACCCATCCACTATGGAAGGATCAGCTCTGTCGTATTTTCACTGAGCATTTAAGATGCATCAGGCATCATGAAGGTCTGGGGGGATGTGAGTAAAGAAGACAGTTCCTGGTAGCAAAAAACTCATGGACTAGTGGGGGCTACTGGTGAACAGGTAACTACGAAAGTATGTGTTAGTGGAACCTATGCTGAAAGGGCATGTGTACAACAAACATCCATACACGTAGTTCAAACAGACAGTCCTTTGTGTTTTGATCCTCAATAAAAAGCTATATTAATAAAATTAATATCTACCATTTATTGAGAACTTATATGCCAGGCACTGTACATATGTTATATTTAGGCAAATCCTCACAACAACCCTGTGAGGTAGGCATTTTTGTTATACCAATTTTGTGGATAAGGAAACTGAGGCACAGAGGCATTATACAGTAGATCAGATAGATACTGTTATCCCATTTTTGGAGTGGAGGAAACAAAAGCACAGAGAGGTAAAGTGACTTGCTCAAGATCATACAGGGAGGCAGTGTCAGAGGTGGAACTAAAAACCAGGATTACTGCTTCTAAGTCCAGGGTACTTTCTGGGGAAAGCCCCATAGATCTCCCCAAGCCTATTTAGCTTGATGGAGGGACTAAAGCAAATGTGGCCAATTCCATCTAAAGATCTCCAGACCATGGGGAGTGGCAGTTGGGGCTAGGGTGTGTCTGGCATTTGACATTTTGGGGAGCCTTCTTCTGTGTTGAGAGGTTGGTGCTGTCTTACTGGCTCTACTGATCTAGTACCAAAGTAATTTATAAAGCCATTTCTAAAATATGAGCTATCACTTCTTTTTATCATTTGTTTTGTTTTCACTCACCAGCACTAGCAATTCATTCTATTTTCCACATTTAAAAATAATAATCACAAATAAAATACATTTAGAATTTTTAAAATCTATTTATAAGACTGCGGTGGCAGTGCCTGGCACATATTTAGGTGCTCAATAAATATTGGTTGAATGAATGAATGATTGCATGATATTCAACAAGTAGAGAACAACAAAGCTGTGATGAGCTGAAGCTGCTGGACAGTTGGCTGGGCTCACTCAATAGCCAAATGATTGACTCCCATGCCTTTGCCTTGTAGCATGTGCAATGCTAATTTGTATTTCACTAAAATGTCGTAGGCCTTGCAGGGTGTAGGAACTGGGTGAGGAAAGTAAAATCAGAAACCCTGGCTCAACCAGCCATGATCCCTGGAACAACAATTGCCAGATGCCAGCAGCCACGGCCACACCCACCTGCTACAACCAGCTTCAGGGGGTTGCTGGGCTCTGACCACAGGGCGGGGAGCATCTGGATGTGAGTGCGGCATATATAAACCCCTTCGTCCTCAGGTGTCATGTTGTCAATGGAGAATATGGCCATTGTCCCGGTTGGGACTTGGTAATCCACGGGCTCCGCATATCCCTCTTTAAACAGCATGAACACCAAATCCTGCAGCCAGCCATGGCAGAGGATGTTAACATTACATCCAGGAAGAGGGGGGGTCTCAGCTTGGATCCAGAAGATAGGCTTGGGCAGCTGGCCTGGAAAGAAAGAATGCACTGGAATTAGGTAGAGTAAGGATAGTGTTGCCTAGGGAGCAGCAGAGAAGAGCTCTACTTTAAATGAGGCTTCCCTGTAAGATTCTTGTTTGCCACCCCTCCTTCTGCCATCTCTGTTCCAGAGTCTGCATCCTCACTGTGCATTGCTTAAAACAGAGTAGACATTTATTTACTAACTGTGGAATGCATGAATGTATGCATGCATTTGAGGTAAATGAGGTAAACACTGCCCTGGAAAGTCAAGTTTGAATCCCAGGAGTTGAAGTTTATTCTTGAATATCTATCTCTGTCTTCTTACCTGGTGCCTCCAACTCTAGAACTTTACTGGGTTTTGACCAGCCTGTCTCCTTCCAGTAGCAGCACCTGTAAAGACCTATATTGGACTCAGTTAGGGCACCTATGGGGAATGAAACTTGGAAGGTCTTGTAGGAAGGGCGGATCCAGGTCATCTGTGTCTTATCCTTCAGCAGCAGGAACTTGCTTGAAATCCGAGAGGGGCTTCGGCACCACAGCGTGATGTTCTCCCAAGGGGCCTGGGGGTAGTTGGATTCTATCCACAGCTCCGGTTGTGGTTCCATCACTGTCATTCCCAAAGATCACAAAGACATGAGCAGTCTAGCCTTCTCCCTCCCACGGTGTGTCCCATAATGTCCCTTAAAATTAGCCCCAACCCAGATTCCTCCTTTTGCCTTCCCCTGGGGACAGGAATATCTGCTCATGTAGGGTGTGGGATGGGAACCCCAGTATATTTGTTCAAGGAATCCAGATGAGTTGGGGAATAAGGTGCAAGTCTAGCTTGCTTTCTGTCTGAGATAAAGCTCTTCACTATTTCAGGGGAAACCAAGTCCTGAAGTGTTAGGGCTTTGATTCCCAACCAGCCCAATCTGTCTTTGGGATCTCAAGGCAATTATGTCCAGGCTCTTGGAGGCAGGCCAACGTCTTGGATCCTTTAGGAAGGAAGATACCTGAGGGGGCAGAACTCACTTACCTATCGATGTCATACCAAAATTCAGCCCTGAAAAGAGAGATTTGGTAAAGGAGAGCTCCCTCGTCGTCCCCACCCTGCCCTTAAACATCAATACTTCTCTCTCCCTCCCCAAGGTACCCACTCATAGATGTACCTATGACAGAGTCACTTGCCCCTCACCCCTTCTTGTACTCACGAATGGAAAAGAGCAAGACAGTGAATGTCCACAGCATGGTGTCCCCTTCCCCTGGTCTGTCCCAGGTCACAGGGCCTCTGGTGCTCGATGCGCTCTCAGTCTTGAAGGTTTTTTGTCCTCAGCAGGTGGTGGGATCTAAAATCAGAACTGTTTTTACTCAGGGGACTTGTCCGGCTCCTTAAAATTTAGTTTAGAGCACAAAACTGCAGTTGACAACCCTAGATTCCACTCCTTCACAGGCATGCAGAGTATTCCTAGGTCACCTGTTACTTTTTCTCCTTGCCTCTTATCCTCACTTCCCCATCCTCCCACCCAAGTTCTTTGCTGGTATGTAAGACATCAGATTTATTAAAATGTCTGTTTGTCCCTGGGATCTCAGAGGCCCAGAAGGCAGCCTAATACGAACCTGCTGAAGGCCCATGAGATGGGGGAGATGGGAGGTGCAGAGAGTCACCTTTTCAGATTCTTTACTCAGATACACACACACACACACACACACACACACACACACACACACAGATTCCTCCAACAACCTAGCAAAGGAGGCATTAATACCATCCTCATTTTTCCAGTGAGGAAACTGAGGCATAGAGAGGATGTATAATTTGTCCACAATCAAGAGATACTAAATATTAGAGCCAAAATTCAAATCCATGTTTAACTCCAAGGCCTATGATCTAAGACTGCTATTTAACCCCTCTGGCCTCCCTCCTCAGCCTCCCTCACCCCTCCCATCTCATCCCATGGAGACCTTCCCTTCTATGGAATGCTTCACATCCAATATTACTCTCATTCTTATTGCTTATCCCTAAAAGCTCAATACCCCCATCTCAAGCAGGTATTGGGGAATCAAGCTGCTTGAGCTAATTAATATAAGGTGTAAATGATTCATTGGCTGCCTGTAACATCTAAGCAGTTTTGTTCATTGCCCCTAAGGAAAATGAAATTATTTGAATTTCAGGGAATATGACAAAGATACTTGAGCTTAGGGAGGCCTTCTGGTTTTCCCAGGAATCACTATTGACCATAGGCCCTGCATATACATAAGGTAGACCCCTGAGCTTTCGTGCCTCTCCCCTCTCCCACCAGAGTAACCTTTCACCAAGGGAACGTGTGTCCCCACTGCAGAATCTCGAGCTAATTCTCCTCTGCCAACTCTCTATTCACAGTCTGAGGTCCTGGCCGACCCCAGCTGGTTAATCTTAGCTCAGTAGAGTAGAGTAGAGGCAGCTCCCAGAATAGAGAAAGGGACTGAGTTTACATTTCTAGACTGATCCTGAGACCTCAGCCTCTAAGTTGATCCAGTGCTAACACTGGGCAGGATGGAGGAGCAGAAAAAGGGGAAGATTCATTTTGAAAACATCTGGGCTGTAGGGACCAAGTGGACAGTGAGAGATTCAAGGAGGCACAGCTCCATTTTTCATTTCTCACTTTGCATTGAAGGATGCTCAATTTATCCTCTCTGAACTTTTCTTATCTGTAAAGTGGGGAAATAATATCTACCTAACATTATTGTTGTGTTGGATTAGAGATAACATGTGTACAGTGCCAGGCACACAGTGAAAATTTCATTTTAAAAAGGTGCTTATTTTTTCTTTTTTCTGAAGGGGACATCAAACTGGTATAGGACTCTAAAGATGTTCTTTTCATCTCAGCTCTTACAGCCCCTTGCCCCCACTCCTCTCAGGGCCAGGCCAAGGCTTGGATGCCACCCTGTTGCTTTGTTCCCCTGGGCTTCAGGCCAGGATTTATTGGGGGAAGCAAGGTTTTACTGCCAAGGGAAAGATTCAACCTGGGATTATACCAAGGAAATGTCTTCTGAGCTTCCAGTCTTGCCACTTGGACCCCCAAACAACCATCTTTGCCTCCCGGGGGGCTTGAGTGGAGTCAGGGAAGCTGGGCTGCTCAGCATAGCTGACCCCTCCTCAATCACTAAGGAAACTGTACCATTTATATCCAGCCAAAATGATGAATCTTATACCCCAGGAACATGAGAACAGCCCCAAGCTGCAGGTTAATTCACCACACCCTTTTTTGGCCTTTCACCCCACCCTAACCCCCACCCTCAACTTCGGCTGTCTAGCCATTTTACCCTCCCCTTCTGCTCCACCCCAAGCACTTTCCCCACCCTTAGGCAGCGCCGCAGTGCTTTTGAGGGTGACATACCCGAAATGTCTAATGGCTCGCCCCCTGCATAGCTTTGAGGGCTCCAGGAATCAAAGGGGTTAGGCTCGGCGGGGTGCCAGGTACATGCTCCGCGGAGGGTTTGGAGGGAAGACTGAGACGGAAAAGGGAAGCTATCTACAGTGCCCAAAGATTCTCAGCGAGGCAGGTCTGGGATCCGGGGAGGAAAGGAAAAAGGAAGAGATGAGGAGGGTGGGGGGACAGACTGGGGAGCAATTTGATTTACAGCAATTAATTACAGCAGAAAGACCCTTTCGGGGTTTTGTTTAGGATCTGGTGGCCAGTATTTAATCTTCAGCCACTGAACTATGCGCTCATTTGCAGGTACTTACGGTAGTTGAAGGCCCGCTCTGATGTTGGAGATTCTCCAGTGAGCTCCTCCAGATGCAGCAAACTGCCCGGCATGAGAAGAGCTGTCTAAGGACTGCCTCTCGGGCTCTGAGTCCCGCCTCCCGCTCTCCCCCGCCTGCCTGTCGGCCCGCCCCGAGCTCCTCCCCTCCCTCCTCCGGGCTCTGGGAGCCCACCTACACCAACTCTGCCTGGCACCTGCAGTCCGCTGACGACCAGGATTTTTATGCCCCTCCCAGCTCCCTGCCTCTCTCCCGGTTCCCTGCAGAGGTGGCTGGAGCCAAGTTCAGGCCCCTGCCCTCTCGCCTGTCGCTCAGAGTTCCATTGGGTCACCATATTCTGGAGGGGAGAAGGCCAGCTTTTAAGACAGCCTAAGCTGTAGATCCTCCTTTCCAGCTCCCCAGTGCCTTTAAAGGGATGTCATATCTTCCTCTGTCCATTTAACGCCCCATTTATGCGTAAACGTCACCATCATCACGGTTTAAATGCCTACTATGTGCCCCTGTGTCCTGGGGCAGCTATTATTTCTAATTTTCATAGCAATTCTACTAGGTAAGTGTTACTTCCCTCAGTTTTACAGATGAGGAAACTGAAGCTCAGAGAGAGTTAAGTAACTTGGACAGTGGTGAAAGACCAGCTAAAGCCCAGGCTTTAGAGACATACAAATTTAAATTTCACTCCAGGTTCTACATTCAATAGCTGTGTGACCTCAAGCAAGTGAGTTAAACTCTCTGAGTCCTGGCTTCCCCATCTATAAAAGAAAGATACAGCAGAACCTATTTCACAGGGCTGAAATGGGGTAATGCAGGTAAAACTCACAGCTACAGCTGGTACATAGTAGGTGCTCAATAAATGGTAGCTACTGCCACTGCTACTACCCTTATTACTACTAGTAGTATTAATCTGTAAAGCCTTCCCCAGCTGCCTTAGGGTAACATCATTTTGATAATATAGAGGAACTTTCACAAATGTTGACCATGAAAGACTTTAAAATGATAATGTATAGATAAGACACTAATCAAAGCTCTTGACATATAATATATAATGGGATTAAAGTAAGGCATCCAATGGACTCATAGACCAACTGATAATAAATATCAATATCACAGAAAAATTGGCTAAGAAACAGCCAAATATTTCTTTATGCACATTTTTTACCTTCATAAAAGATTACAAATTATATAATGAAAAATACTTTAATTCAAGAATATATTATGTAAAAATAAAGTAACAGCTCTTTTGATGGGGAAATTGAATATCATATCTTCATGCATCAGGTGCTATCGATTGTAGCTGCCTGGCATCCTCAACTCCTACACACCATTAAAACAGCATATTATTGTATAAAAACAGAATAGCCATGTAAATATAAATATATGTTTCTGGGCAAGTTATTTAACCTCACCAAGCCTCAGTTTTCTTATTTGTAAAATGGGGATAATAAGTGCACTTACTACCTTGCAGGGTTTGGGGTAGGATTGAATGAAAACCCTCCTGAAAACCACTACGTAGTGCCTGGGACACAGCAAGCAGCCATTGATTCAACACATCTCTTAAGTATTTTCTTTGTGGCAGGCATTTTCTGGATGCTGACGATTCAGAGAGGATGACAGTTTCTCCTCTTAAGGAGTCTGTGGTTAAGGATAAATCATGATAGAAAACAAGTAGGAGGAAGCCAGAGGAGGGACAACCTCGGAAGTAGAAGAGGATTGCAATAGAAAAGCCCAGCAAGTAAGGCATGACAGTATGTGTTCAGAGAACTGCAAGCAGTTTGCTGTTACTGTGTGCCTAAACTAGAGCAGTGGTAGCAGAGAAGGACTGCAGAGCAAGGGTTCCCAAAACGTTGAGGAGGCAAAATTGGACAAACTTGTTGGTTGACTGGAACACAGCAGTGATAGTTATTATCTGCCAGAGTAAAAACATCCATGCCAATTTTCAAAACATTTATAGTGTATAGAAATCACTACAATAGTACCATACACCAAGTGCTTTATAAATCTTAGCTCATTTTATCCCCATAGCAACATTATGGAATAGTTACCATTATCAACACCATTTTACAGATGAAGAAACTCAAACACAGAGTCATTGAGCAAATTGTCCAAGGCCAACACAGCCAACAAGTGGCAGAGCTAGGATTCAAATCCAGACAGTCTGTATAAAGAGTGCCATGTTCTTAACCATCACTCTATGCTGCCTCTGCATTGGATTGTAGAGCTGATAAACTAAAGTATAAAAAAAGTGAAAGTATTTCATACAATAGAAAAACACCAATCAAATGCACTGTTAATAATGTATAAAAAAGAAATGATAGCATTTCCCCACTTTCCCCCACTCTGCATGTCCTTGGGCTGAATGAAGCTTGTACTCTTAAACCAGCAGCCTGAATCTAGAGCCCGGAATCCCCACTATCTGGCCATGGAAGCCTGAGAAGGGTCTTGTGGCTGCGTAGGTGAGAATCCCACTCACTCTCATCTTTTGCTCAGGGGCATTATGGAGTCTTGAAGGGATTCATTATTCAGTCTTCATAGAAGCCCCTCATTCAAACTATGGCTGGTAATTGAGATGCCAGAATCTCCATTTCAAGGCTACCTGGGTGGGTTTTGAATCTTGCAGCTGGCAGAAAGAGAAATTCTCTGGCCAACCTCCCTGGAGAAACCTTGAGTGACCCAATATTATAAATCTGGAGGTAGAGGCCAATAAGGTCTGGGGCTGGGACTGAGCTGAGATGGAGTTCTTGACATTGACTCTGCTGGTCTTCTTCCATTAGGAATCTAGCAGGCCTGTGGCTCTGTTACTCTGAATCTTTCACACAGACACACAGACACACACATTGACACACACACACACACACACACACACACACACACTCCAAGAAGCCTGGGTTTCTCTCTTGGCTTATTACTCTAGAGTTAGCTGATGTTAAACAACTCTTCTACCAGGAAATATTTTGAGAATGACCAATCTTGTTCCTAATGGCCAGGCCCTCTCTGTCTCTCTGCATCCCCTTGGACTGGTGGTGATACCAGAAAATATTCCTGAATCATACCCCTTCTCACTTTCAGACCTTGAATACAGGGGCTAAAAGAGGATTCCTCCTGAAAAAGCTTTAGAGTCACCTCTTAGGGATTATAAGACAACTATTAACCACTAGATCCTATTGAGTATACACTATATATGCTGAGGCAGGGAGTATGGTAGAGTGTAGAGGTGGAACTAAAGTGGTTTGTTAGACAAAGTTTCTGAGCTCTAGAGACTTTCAACCTAGAGAGAAGAAAAGAGCAACTATTTTAATACAAAGCTGTATTGGGGATCAGAGGAGAGCTAGAAGAGCTTCAGGAAAGTAGATCTCAAAGGGAAGAGGTGAGGAACCAAGGGCCATGGGGTGATCTGGGGAGCCTTTCTCCATAATCGAGTCCACTGTAGGATGATGAGATTTTTTAAAAGCCTTATTCTGTCTTAGAGTAGCCCAAATAAGAAAAGCACAGGGAAAAGCTGGTCTCTTCCCAGCAGTATGCTAAAGCCAGCTTACTCTGGCTCAGGAGATCTGTGCATCTCATCTTAACTCAGCATTCAGTGACATAACAGTGGGAGCTTGAAACTAGCCACGGTCGGAGAATTTTCACTACTGAAGAAGCAAATGCTACAAATCAAGTCCCCCTCTCCACCCCAAAGCTGTTTTTAAACATTTACTAGCAAACCGCTTTCTTCTAGTTTTATATTTTAAGGCAGTAATTTTTACTGGGAAACAGGAACTTTTCTAAACTACCCAAGGATCCTGATAAGTTTCATACACTCTCAAGAGAGTTCGGGACATTGTGTTCCGTTCCCCTTCCCCTCACCTCGCTGCTGTGGTAAGCCACCTGAGGACTGTGTCAGATCTCTGGACTGTTTGGTGCATTCAAAATTTGATTATGTGTTTTAGCATCCCACCCCACTCCCCAGCCTCTCCAGCCCTTATCCTTTTCTGCAATGGACAGGAATGAGAAATTCAGCTGGGACTAGGGAAGTGGTGTTCTGGGACAGTGAAGAGGTCCAACCAGACAGGTTGGGTTCTAACTGCAAGATCTGATGGGGGTGTTAAGCTTTGGAGTGGGGAGTGTGAAGCTGGAAAGGGAAGTTGGGGCCAATCCACAGAGCTTGGGTTTCAAACTTGTGCTTTGTCAAGCACTTCAATTATTAAGGGCAAAGTCTGGGGCACTAAGTCACTTCCAGAAGCTATAACTGAGAATACCTTTAAGATTGTGCAGTAAGATTCCTACAATAAATCAAATGAAAGTGATGAACCAGACCAAAAACTTATTTAATCAAAACACTCATGGTGGGCCATAAGGCATTGGATAGAGGCCTGTGTGATCAGGCTTCTGGGTGCCTGCCACAAAGCAAACCCACAGTTGTGAGTACATAGGTGAATTTAACTTAAGGTTATGAGTGGAGAGAGAAAATGAAGGGTTTTTGTTTGTTTGTTTGTTTGTTTGTTTTGGTATTCCAATCTAGCAGGGCCACAGGGTTCTATCTGGTCCATGAACCATTTACCACAAAGGTAAACTACTGGTTCACTGTCCCCAAATAACAATCATCCTGGCATCACAAGATGCCTTTTGTTTGTATGAGGAATAGTGTGTATCATGAGTACATGGTAGGGAGGAAGGTTCAGAGATAGACCTCTAAAATGCAGGAGAGTTCTAAGGGCAGGGGTAGAGTGTTTCAGTATTCCCTTTTCCTGTGTTGGATGAAGTTGGTGGCTCCAGAAGGAAAGCAGGTAGGCTCAGCCTCACTGCCCAGGGCAGGCAGGCAGAGGAGTCTACAAGCAGTTTAGGTCTGAGCCAGGCAGGATAATTTGATGTGCCAGTGCCAGGAAAGCCTTTTTCTGTTTCAGAGTCTGACTTGCTTCCAATTTGCCCAAATTGTAGGCGTTTTCATGGCAAGGGTGGGGTTGTCACTCAAGAATGCACAACTGGGCTCTTTTTAATATTTGTTTACTTTTAATCACTTGTCCAAAGGAAACTATAGAAGACAACTATTGGGTTTTTTTCTTCCCATTTATTGTATGATTAACCAATTATATAATTAAAATTAAATAGACATCTAAATTGCAAGAGGAACACAAATTAGGAATTCAAAAACACATCATTGCGATATTACCATTTGCAATCTGTTTCTAAAAATGTCAATTTACAGGCATTCATTTCAATGTACACGCATCTCTTCAAGTTCTACTTCTTTTGTGCCATA